ATTATATGTCATTACGTTGCTGTCTTGCCGCCAGCCAATCGCTGCATTGCTGATCGTGGTTTCGAGTATTGATACATCCCTTTACGGGGGACATGAGAACGCGCAGTAGACAACTTAATCCAGATATTTGAATAAAATCCGCAAATTCGTTTGAAGAACCAAATTAGCCAGAGATCAGTTATCACGATTAGAAGATCTGGTATCTTTCAAATCATCTCAGATGTATTAAGCGAGGTACGGAGATCGGGGCCCAGGTCTGGGCTCATGATGTGGAGTGTATATTTCAACAATCAACAGTTCACATTCTCAAATGAGTGTATGTATCTTAAAGTAACAAGTAAACAAATAAAGAAGGAATAGTTAAACAACCGTTAGCAACTTCAAAAACAAAACACAAAAAAATTACAGAAAAGTATTTGACTGTTTTGAACTTTTTATACTTTGTAATAAGTTGTATTGTACTTGCTAACTATCCGAGAGATTACTTTGACAGATTGTACAATATTACGGTCCCAAAACCCTTCAAGCAATATTACAGTATAAAGTGCTGTATATAAGGAAGCAAATATGCAGCAGCATACTGTGCTGCATACTGTTCCTCAGGTGCACAAAAGGCACTATTTTTAAAAGTCTGTACTGATGTCATTTGTAAATCAAATCAAAGTTTTCCCTGATATGAGAGTGACTGGGTAAGACAACAGAAGCACTTCATCCAGAATCTATCTTTGGTTTCTTTCTTGTCTGAGAAGAACAGAGACAAATCCGCAAATTCGTTTGAAGAACCAAATTAGCCAGAGATCAGTTATCACGATTAGAAGATCTGGTATCTTTCAAATCATCTCAGATGTATTAAGCGAGGTACGGAGATCGGGGCCCAGGTCTGGGCTCATGATGTGGAGTGTATATTTCAACAATCAACAGTTCACATTCTCAAATGAGTGTATGTATCTTAAAGTAACAAGTAAACAAATAAAGAAGGAATAGTTAAACAACCGTTAGCAACTTCAAAAACAAAACACAAAAAAATTACAGAAAAGTATTTGACTGTTTTGAACTTTTTATACTTTGTAATAAGTTGTATTGTACTTGCTAACTATCCGAGAGATTACTTTGACAGATTGTACAATATTACGGTCCCAAAACCCTTCAAGCAATATTACAGTATAAAGTGCTGTATATAAGGAAGCAAATATGCAGCAGCATACTGTGCTGCATACTGTTCCTCAGGTGCACAAAAGGCACTATTTTTAAAAGTCTGTACTGATGTCATTTGTAAATCAAATCAAAGTTTTCCCTGATATGAGAGTGACTGGGTAAGACAACAGAAGCACTTCATCCAGAATCTATCTTTGGTTTCTTTCTTGTCTGAGAAGAACAGAGAACTTCCATGTGTCGGTGTATTGTGAGAGCAGGATCTCTTCAGGGAAGAACTCGTCCACCTCAGGAGGAATGTCCAGATCTTTACGCTCCATGTAGGACACAACAGTGTCTTTAAGACTGGAAGACAGACAGAATTTAGTGAGTTATGTTCAACAAGAGCTTTAGAGTGCACATCACCACAATATTAAGGCTCCCACAGATTCTGCTCTGCAGATTCCTTTAGAATACAAAACCCATTCACAAACTTCCCCATATTTCCCTGCCAATCGTATGTTCATGAAATATTTGATTAACTTGATTATAGTATTTTTAGTGCCACCACAGTCTTATGGAATTTTTTGTAAACTGCATACAAATTTGTGGGCGATAAAAAAAAAAAATTATATTCAGACATTTTTTTTTTTTTACATTTTGGTCAAAAACTATATAAATTAATGATACAGACATTTTTATGGATACATGCCATGGACACTTCAATAAAACAGATTCATAAATAAATACTATACTGTCCCCCACCCCAGTGTAAACAGTGAAACTTTATCTTTCTAGTTGAGTGTTCTTAAGCCTCTGTATCACACAGTTTACCCAGTTTCATGCTTTGGATAGCCTTTCCCTAGCATACTGAAAACCATTGTGTCAACTATATATAATCACTTGACATAAATACATGGTTAATTCAGATATTACTTTCATTTCTTGAGGGTAATTTGGTGTGATTGCTTCTCACTGAGAGGGGCTTAGTGGAGGATCAGTTCCACAAAACCAGTAAGCAATTACTTAGTTTTACAAGCCTTCAGTACAAAAAACTAAAACAAACCGAAACAAAACAGCTATTGCTATAACTTGCAGTTCAGTAATCGAGTCAAATGTTGATTCTGATGAATTCAGTGAATTTATTCAGTAAAGGATTTGTCAGACTGATTCAAAAGAGTAATGTGAGTGAAAAGAAATCAATGAAAGGTGTTCATTCAAGTAGTCTGTTTGTGAATCAGACTACACTAGCATTGCAGCACTGGTAATATTCCTCAGGTCTCACCCCCAGTCAGGCCTAAAGGTGTCCATGGCTTTTGGGTTCTTCAGGACCAAAAGCAGAAACTCATGCATCTCCAACAGGAAGGCATCAGCGCTGGACTTTGTGAAAAAACTAGTGAGCAGTATCTTGTGTTCCTCCTGCAAAGGATGTTTGTACTCTTTGCTGATGCCCACAAACGGGTCCTGAAGAGCAGATGAACAGTCATTATCACATAAAAACTAATTGAAAGCACAAAACAGAATACTATGTTGAGTGTCTCACCCTCTTCAGACGTAGCATTGTCTCTGATTTCAGAGAGCTGAGCAGCTGCCACAACATCACACAGTGTTTCAGGCTGCACCTACTTAATGCCTGCACACAGAATTATAACTTACAGGTATCACACATTGCCAGAAAACAGATTAGGGACTGAAAAGTTATCATGGACTTTTTCTATTGAAAAAACAGAAATGATAGAAATCTATGACTTCCGCTTCAGAGAAGCTAGTTAAATGTGACAGGGGTCCATAAAGTGTCACCCTATGGAATGACTGTTCTTAATTTCAGTGTGCTACTTTTTAATTTTATTATGAATAGTATGTAGGTCTTTTTTTAGCATCTCGCGTCACAAACACTGTGCTTTTAAAGTAACATCAAAGTATTTAAACTTTTAAATATCTCAAGGCCTCTACTGTTTTTTATTTTAACATTTTTTAACACAAGAATGTGTGTTAACCCCCCTAAGAGAAACTCGTCTGATCATGACATTAAACCAATCTAACTATACAGGGATTCCTTAAGACCAGTGAGGATAGCATCATATTGGTATATGATGCTATCCTCACCGGTCTTAAGGAATCCCTGTATAGTTAGATTGGTTTAACTGCTCCATTGGCTTCACCACTGCTCCAAAATAATACATTTAATAAAGAAAGTGTGTGTTCATGACCAACCTTGAAGACATGTGGGGCCTTGTGGTCAGTCATCTGCAGCACCTCCTTCAAATAAGTGGCCAGCTGCATGTGTGGCTCTCCCCCCGTCATGGCGAGGAAACCCATGGCCAGTTCAACTGTGGACAGGGCCTCACACACGTCACTGTAGGACTGCAGCTCCTTCACAAGGTCGTACTGTGTCAGAGGCTGCAAAGACTCCTTTTGATACACAATCACATGACAGCTTGTGACGTATTAAAATGGTCAAAATATATCTCTGCATTGTAACCATGGATTTAATTAAATGTACAATTTTAAAAGTTGCATTTAAACAATATTAATATTCATTAAGAGCATTTTGAACAATGGATCAACATCTAACAATAACATAACCAATACAATGTATAAGATACAGATTTAAATGTATTACGCTAAAAAAACATTTATAATTAAAAAAATTATATAACTTACTTGTTGAACTTTGCCCTTAACATCTTTAAATATGATCTCATAATTTCTGTCTTGTCTGTTCACCAGTGTCGGAATACCCTGAAACACGAAGAAACAAAAACACAAAACAAAAGAAATAATTATAATTTTACTCATTTATTTACTCTACTGATTGTCAAGCCTGAAGAACTCCTAAAAAACACATCTGAACAGGCATTTTTCAGCTCTTGTGGTGCTGTGACATACATTAAGGGTGATGTGTGGTTTGCCCTGTAGAAAGCGGGTGAGGATCTGCTGCTGAATCTTGGGTAGGTCGTAGTCCTCCAGGGTTTCCTGCCCACGCTCCATCCTATATTGGCAGTTGGACAGCACCAGAGGCAGAAGATCCCGCTCATACTCATAACGGATCACGTGCAGCTCTGTCAGGTCAGCTGGGCTTACCGTGTAACTAGAAGGAAACAGGACAGAGAATGGTATGGATAGATGGGTGCCTAACTGGGAAATTGGGTATGGTGGGTTTAAAGTTGCAAATTTAACCGCTAGCTCACGGTGACTCAGGGTTCTGAGTGTTGTGGGGTTTTTTTTTCAGTGTGTTGCTATGTGGTCCCTAGGTTAATATAATGTTATATTTGATATTATTATATTATAATATAATATTACATCACTAAGTAATATTGTGGTCTTTAGTTATGGCTCAGAACCCTCCTTCTGTAGGTGTTTTTTCACTCATCCAGCATCAACAGGTGTTTTATCATCTGCAAAGTGAAAACTGTAAGTCCGATCATTCATCAAAGTAATAGTACACCTCTATTATTCACAAGCCACATGATTTGAAATGTTTCAATGAAATTGGATTTTTTTTAAATATTGTTTTTAAATTATTGGTCTATTTAGTACTTGTGTTTCATTGTAACAGCAAAATAATTTGGTCTATTTAATGACACTGTCTTTAAGAACATGTAAATTTGCTGAACGGTCAATAAGAGTAAAACAGTAAACATCTGATGACTCATGGTATGAAATATCTCTCATAGCCACAAACGGTACAGGATGAGTTACACCATGATGATTAATACTTAAGGTTATAGGTTTTCTGAACTCAATAACTTCATCAGTGACTACTATATCAAACACCACAAATACATGGGACTAAATTTGCTGAATCTCTTACCCAGACTCCTCTCCAGTGTATCTTTCAACAGTGTAGATAAGGTCGTTGTGCAGGGTGATGAGGTAGCTGACGAGGGCAGTGGAGCACAGGCCCAGGCCGCTTCTTTGCGGCAGCAGAACCTGCAGGTCTGCGTCCAGACCCAGTTCCTCCCGAGTGTAATCGTCCGGCAGCTTTATCTCTCCTGACACAAACAGACCATCTCATGCATCGCTCATCAATGGAAAAAATAATAGACATTTGTCTAAGAAATTACTGCACAGTGGTCTAAAGTGGAAAGAATGTGGTCAAGACAGTGGAAAGAATAAGTCTGTGAATGTTTGTGAATATTTGGATTTCTGCACTGATTGCACTCATAAAATGAGGTCTGATCACAATTTAATGAACAATTATAGACAAACACAATCTGACTAAACTAATAACGCACATTTAACATTTATATTGAATACATTATTTAATCACTAAAAGTGTATGGTGGAGAAAGTAGCAATTGAATTTTCTATATTTGTAGACAGGGTATCTTACCTACTTATTTATGAATAATAGGTCTTTAGCAATGCTAAAGCCTTGTCCAGCTTTGTGCATCTCTGCAATGTGTTTTTAAATATTTTAAGAATCTTTCTTTAAAAAAAAAAGAAAAAAAAAAAAGGATTTGTCAAGTCACGTCAAGTCACCTTTTTTTGATGGTAACCAGGCTTTGTGTGACTGGGCAGAGCACCCACACTTCCAATCTCATCTCCTTAACTGACTTCAATTAGCTTTTAATTTTCAATTAGTCGTAACACAGAGGTTCACTTATAGTGCTTTATCCAGCCTGCTCTGTCAATGACCAGTCAGTGTCTTCAATAACATTTTGAAAAGTACAATGTTTTGTGTTATTAGTTAAGTCAGACTGTGTTTGTCTATAACTGTGACTTGATGAAGATCAGACCACATTTTATGAGTAATCAATGCAGAAATCCAGTTAAGAGTTTACAAACGTATGCTTGCAATTGTAGGTAGGAGTTGGTTTACCTGTGGTAGCCAGAGATACCCTGATTTGGTTCCAAGTTGATATAAATTTTTTTATGCGCTTTTCATACCAAGCAGTGAGTGAAGCTGTTGAATGAAAACATGGCACAATCAGTATGTTTGCAATGAAAGTAAACTTTATTAATAGAGAAATCGCATATGCTTGCATGACTGCTGATTTGGGACTACATTTGTGCTGAAATGGGTAAATCAACCATCAAGCAGCGTATGCAATTACAAACAATGAAATGATCAATCATGAATATCTCCATACTGACTCAACACTTTCCATGGTAAATCATCACTAATATATGGTAGGTACCTGCTTTCTGATTTTGCAGGAACTCGCCAATGGTGTTGTGGTTAAGCTCTGTCATGTTATGGAACATCTTTACCAAATCCCTCTGGAGAACCAAGATGTCCGGAAGGAACCGCACCATCCGTAGCTCTGCTTCCTGAAATATACAGCTTTACAGTTTCTGTTTTCTCTACATGCCATTATTTTAATACAGATTTTTTCCACTGTTTTATTACTGCAGATAAACCCACCACTAATCAGTATGTTAAAACAAAATAAACTATGGCTGGTCCTTCATATGACAGTAAGACTAACATCAAAGTCGACCAGACTATGCTAATGGTCAAAGGACTGTCTACACAACATAAACAATCTGCCTAGAAAGCAGGCATCATGAACTGCAGTCTCGAACTGGTTGAACTGGTAGTTAAACTAATGAGATACTGTGGTTAATACATATCTTACCCTCTGAAGGAACTTCCAGAGCACTGGCAAGGTGTCCCGGCCACTGTTTTGCTCCACAATGTGGGTCAGACTCAACATTGAGACCTTCCTCCTGCAGCTCCAGATGGATGAATTATGGATGAGGGAGTTCTGGGGCAGAGAGCGCAGGAACAGCCCTGGTTTGCCAAATGCCAACTTCATCACTGGATTAGAAGACACTCGCTCATCTTTCCTGATGAAGGCATTCACTTCCTTTAGCTGAAGCTCCAAAACCTGAGAGAAAGATCAAAGAATGGAAAGTAATAATCAGCTAAGGGTTATGAGAAGTACTCTACTCTGAGGTCATTAATGCAACAATTAATCAACCATTCAGCTTTCGCTTTTATGTTAGGTCTAGTGTTATCAAACACCTACTCAACAATGAAAAATGTTTTTAACTGTTAATACATTGGTTGATCTATTTCAGAGGCAATGAAAAAGGAGGGAAATAAATGGAAAATCAACCATGATTTACACATCTAAAACTAAGATGCAAAAAACTTTAAGTTGCATAATTCTTTCTTGGTTCTGTGTACTAAAAGATGACATGTTGCTCACTTTCAGCTGATGTGTGATAACATCAGTATTCATAGCATTTTCCCATCCATTTCTTGCATCTTTAGTGAAAAGGTTTGGATCATAAGGAACAGGCCCTGTTTAGAATAACAAAATGTTATATTTCTTGAATTTCTGAGGCAGGAGATCAATATGGGAAGTGACAAATATAAAGTGAGGTGTGGGACTCTTACACTGGCTGGACTGATGGGGATCCAGTAGACTGTGGATGGTCAAATGGATTGTACCGACTGTATCATCCAGCCCTTTGCCTAGAGCTCTGCTCAGCTGCTCCATGTCCTTCAAAAGATGGGCCATCAGGAATGGACCAGGATCCAGCACAGCAGGCTTGATGATCTGCCTGACACTCTTAAGAGAAACATTCAAGAATATGGGATGACTATAGTAAAAGGTGCTCTCTGAAAGTTTTTGTTTAAGTTTGGCTGGATTTACACCAGAGCTGGGTTCGGTTCTTAATACAAATCCTCAGTTCTTCAAACGCATGTGTGTCTGGATTGAGTTGTCTGATACAATTGTATCAAAACTCAAAACCACAATCAGCATATGATATATATTTAAAAATTCACAATTTGAGTTGAATTACTGAAATAAATGAACTTTTCCACGACATTCTAATTTATTGAGATGCACCTGTATATACACATGACGTGATGCCAAGTATGGTGTCCCATACTTTGAAATTGTGCTCTACATTTAACCCATCCAAGACACACAGCAGTGAGTAGTGAACACACACACACCGTGAACTAGGGCTGTGCGTTATTGAAGAAAAATGCGATATGAGATACCTTGTTTAATACTGCGATATTCAATATGCGATACGATAGGCCTATTGCTTTAAGTGAGTGAAATCATTTTAAATCATATTTTAAAATATTTTAAAGCTGAAAATTATATAACCAATATATACGTTTCATTTTCTTTCTTGGAAAAGAGAGCATCACTACACCTTCTGAAAGTGACCAGCAGTGTTTTAGCATTACATAAAAAGCAATGTCACAAATCTGAAAATGTAATTTTAACATCAATGTAAACAAAAAATAAATAAATAAAAAAAATTTATGCCACTATATAATTAATGCACGATTCATCGAAATTAAACCGCAATCTGCAAAACTGCGATTTGGCAAAGATTGCGATTTTTTCATGCACAGCTTGTCAGTAAAGTATGGTTCTGTGATCAGTAGTAAATACTGCTCCATCCAAAGAAAATGCACGTCGTTCCAGGAAGTCCTTATCGCTGTAGCTGAATAGAAGATTGAACTGCTTTCATTGATTCAACATGACTAATAAACACACGACTATGACCATATATGGTTTATGAGTTCTTATTATAATTATCATAATAAAGTATATTTATAATGCAGTGCTAATCGACATATCCTTTATCACTGCGTAGAATACTATGAAATAATATGTTGCGTGTCTTATTCTGCGTAAGAAGCCACATCGTCTCACGGAAGGATTTTATTTCAAACACTCGACTCACATTATAAAGTGATTTTGGAGTAAAAACATGTTATTAAATGTTGTCTTTTGTTGGACAAGATGTTCATAAATGCTTCTCATGTTTGGAAGATGTTTGACACGTGTTGCTTTTTCAAATGCATGTTATAAGCGGCTCAAACTCGCAGTGCTTTCAGATAAAGCAGTATTTACAACTGATCACAGAGCCATACTTCACTGAAATGCTGCACATAACAGCCTTCCCTATTTCATAATCGCACTAAACCAGACAATTTAATTGTGATTTCGATTAATTATGTAGCCCCACTTAAGACATAACCGACTGTGTGTGTATTTGACCATCCGAGTGTAATAAGGCGCGGAAGAAAACTGAAGCAATCACACGCTATCCGAGAGACGGTTTGTGTGCGCGCTTCAGGTGTGTGTCAGACAGAGAGTTGTTTTCTGCAACTTATTGCACTTAAAGGGGTCATATGATGAGATTTTAATTTTTCCTTTCTCTTTGGAGTGTTACAAGCTCTTGGTGCATAAAGAAGATCTGTAAAGTTGCAAAGACTAAAGTCTCAAATCCAAAGAGATATTCTTTATAAAAGCCAAATACACAAAATAATGTTCTTTTTAGCAGCATCATATGACCCCTTTAATAACTCTTTTTAGCATCAAGCAAGTCATGTAAGTAACAGTCGCGTGCCCAGTCTATTCTCTGCTATATGAGTCAACCTAAAACTTTGACTTTTCACAACATTTTGAAGTAGTTTATTAAAATAATTCAGATATTGCATGCCATTGCGATATGCATATCGCGATAAGTACATTTGCGATATTTCGATAAATTTGATATATCATGCAGCCATACTGTGAACACACACCAGGAGCAGTGGACAGTGTGATAAGCCTGTCACAATAATCAATATATTGACTTAAGTCCAACTCTCTAACCATTAGGCCACAACTTTATTTTATATATATATATGAAGGGGGCAGGTGACATATTCTTAGTGTCCTGCATGTCAGGTTGGTCACGCCGCTGTGCATCATCCAGAATGTGTCCCGACTGAGTACGGTCCCCTCTGCAAAGAGGAACAATTGCCTCAAATTGATTAAAACAATTACCTCTAAAGCAAATCTACAGAAACAATTCAACGAGGCTTATTGAGCATAAAAAAACCAAACACATAAACCGCATCTATACAAATCATTATTATGGATAATAAACTGCTAAATTTAAAATCAACAAAAGCCTTAGTCAAACCTGGTTCAACAGCAGTCACTTATGTAAGGAATGACAAGTAGTAAAGTATAGTGTGCAAGTCAATAATGTAAAATAAACCTACATTTTTATTAAAATGCTAATTTTGAATAGTTCAGAAAAACTTTACCATAAAGTTTTATGTTAACATTACTTATACAATATTTTACATGAAATAATACTTCTACAACATTTATTAATATCTTAGTTAATGTCTTCATATATTAATGCACTTTAACTTTCAAGGAATAAAAGAGGAAGAACAAGCATTCACTGCAGGAGTAACTCACTGTCTCTGCATGGCTTGGAAGCCTTGAACAGGATTGTGGTTGGTACCACCTATTGGTGCATTACAGTCCGGACACCGACCAACCTCCATGGGTCGACCACACTGGACAGATACATGAAGAATTTTTTTTTTGTAATTTTAAGAAGAAGAATCTAATCTAATTCTACACATTAATGTATCAGTAATGCAGTGTTAAGACAAATCATAGGAATTAAGTCACATGACCATACCTCACCAACAGTGCATGGATGACCATTAGGACAGACTTTCAAACACAAAGGGACACCAGAGATTAGGAAAAGAAGTAAAAAAAATAGATGGGCATACATTTATTATTGTTCTTGCTGTTATTTACTCAATATAACAAGAAAATTACATTTGATGTAAGACCCAGGCAAAAACGTCAAATATATTATCCTATACATAACAACGTTCTGATTATGAAGTTCTGTTTATTAATCACTGCATTAACATGAGCTAGAACAGGGTAACATGATTTAACATGGCATTTCAGGTCAGATATTAACCACTGGGTTTCCAGGTGCACTGAATTTTTATAGGTCTTGAATTTTGCATGACTGGCAAATTCTATAGCAGCACCAATACACAGAATCCACTCACAATACCACTGAAGTTGTCCCATGGCCTGCTGGGCAACTGCCAACATGTCATCAGGCATAGTTGGGATGAAAGAAGCCTGTGAGGAGAACATGATAAAAATATCACACTCAAACACATTCTAGTCACCATGTGAAGCGTGAAGGGTTCATACCATCATGTTGTTTGGGGACAGTGCCAGCCGCTGCAGTGGCTGAAGTAAAAGCAGATTTCCACACAGCAGGACTGCAGCCATGTGAACTGTGACCTCTAACAGCATAAATTCTCTGCCTGACGTCTGTGGTTGTACATGCAGAGCACGCAGATTATTTTTCACCAGCGCTTGAGCAAATGCTCTCATTTCGTTATTGATGAAGACATCTGAGCTTCTGATAAAATCTTCAAGGCCAGCACATTGCTACAGAAAACAACATGAATATCAGACATACAGGAGTAATATACATTTATAAAAAAAATCCATAGAATAAAAAAATATGGCTTATTATATATAATTGTTGTGTAGCATATTGTGTTTTTACCGCAGGTTTAGGGTGCATGTTGGGGTTTCCACTTCTGTACAGGGAGGTGACTTCTCTGAACAAAGCCAGTAGCAGATAAACAGCTTTCTTCATGGGTGTGCAGTTGCAATCCTTCAGACAAGGATGTTTTGAAAGACATTGCAAACTGGTCAGCACAGTTAAAGCAGTTTAACAAAATTGAGGAAGAGAAATGGCAAGTATTTGATTGCATAGTTTATTACATTTAATTACAGTGTTCGTGTAGTGGATATGATATCTACAAGCTAGTGAACTCCCTTGTTTCTATCTAATGAGGCATCCTATCCCAACTGGAGCTTCACAAGTGACTGAACTGAATCTGTTAATGGTCACAAGCAGGGTCAGAAATGAACTTTTCCATTAAGTGGCAAAATATAACAATGTTTATAATTACCTTATTAAATGTATCTGTTGTCTTTTATGTCAAACTTAAAGTTACTTGAACTTAACCAATTTCTTCAATCAGAATACTATTGACAGTTACCATTAAAATGATCAACATCAACAATCAGCCATCATTACATTGCAAAGGTGTTGAACAACAGAATCTGCATCTTACATGGCTCTTTAATAGTAACAGCTGTAATAGATATAATTTACTTGTGCAGGAGATTTTTTTACCCCTCTTGAATTTTTGACTGACCCTGGCCACTGCCACACAGATGCACTCTGGTATGGTCTATAGGCAGGTTTAGGGGTAAGGTTAGGGTAAGGAGATAGAAAATAGTTTTTACAGTATAAAAGCCATTACGTCTATGTAAACAAGTATATGCGTATATATATGTGTGTGTGTGCGTGTAAAGAAGCAAACAAATACCTTAATAGCTTTCTGTATTCCGTTCATGTTGCAATCTAGCATGCCTTTGGCTACTGCATCTCGAATAGTTTTGTAGTCCATTCCACATGCTAGATACTGGTCAATTTGACTGTCATCTTGATTCTGAGAGAAATAAACGTACAAATTAAAAAATAACTCATGTCACTCATGTTAATTCAACTAAAACCCACCGACTCAAGAATCTCCTGAGGAAACAGCCACTTGAACCCTTCCTGTGGCAGAAGTTTCTGGACATATTCAACCCCATGAAGACAGCAGATTTTTCTGATGAGGTAAATCCTGTACCAGTCATTCCTGCTCTGGCAGCATAGATCAACCACACTGTCCAAAAATGCTGGGATAAAAGCTGAAGGATCATCATGTACACCTAAAATGAGGAAAACAACATCAATATCAACAGAAAAATTATTCAAATTTTAAATATAATACAGACATTTTTTTCAACTCTTTATTTGTTGTTTTTGGGTGAATCTCATGAAACCATTCTAAGGTCATAATTCATATTTCATGAACTGTTGCAATAATGTTTCAAAACTGGGGAGAAATACAGAAAATATCACAAAAAAATGTTGCAATCCAAAAAAAATTAAGTTCCTAAAATAAGGTTTGTTTTCTGTGTGCACATTTTTATTTTTTTTTTTATTTTTGGGTGAAATGTAACTTGGACATGTTCTGTCAGGTTTCATGATATCATGTCACGCACTAAAGCATAAGCACAAGCACTAAAGGCTTTTTAAAATTACCAGCACTTGTCAATCTATTCATTAGCAGGCCAGCACCCATATCCAGGCACAGTCGAACTCTGGCCATGCACTGCAGGTGCTCTATAGATGCAGTGTGTGTAGACACAGCATCAGAGTGAAGGAACTCCAGTAGAAAATGAGTTTCCTCCTGTAAACAGGCCTGCTGCTCCGCCACAGAATGCCACTGTGTCCGATCATACATTGAGTCCTGCAGACACAGGAGCAACATACTGTTCATTCAAAAAATTTTTAAACATACAGCACATAAGGGTATTTTAACACTAATTCTTGAGAAAGTAACATGTAATTTTAGTTACTTAAAGTAAGAGTAAGTTAAGATGGTATGCTTATGGTATGGTATGGTATGATTATAAACTAGCCTTAATCAGCATTCAATATTTTCACAGTAGATATGCAGTTATTTATATCATCAAAAATATTTAATGTCATAAACTTCAAAAACTAAGCCATAAAACATGGCAGGTGAACGCGAGTTGGTCAGGGCAGTGATATACACACCTCCAAACAGTTTATGTACAAGGAATAAAGCTCGGTTTTATCAGTCTCCTCAATGATGTTGCTTTGCTCAACTTCTGTCAGATGTTGCTGAAGATAGTTCTTGACATCATCCAAGCTGAAAGAGGAAAAAACAAAAACTATTATATTCATAAATGTTTAAGAAGAGTGTGCTGTGAGCTGTTAGAAGCCCTGCGCTTACCTGTACTTGAGCAGGAGTTTTAGCACCACTGAACGCACCACTGGATTTTTATCGAAAGAGTCATCAAAGGGAGAAAGAGCCTTAGTCAAGAACCTCCGGTCTCGCCCTGAGAGGATGGGGAACAACGTTCTTGTCATTTATTCATTCTAAACAAAATCTAGATCTCCATACTTAATAAACAGACATACCTCTGATCTGAGGGAGTGAGCAGGACTCTACCATCAGGAGGGACAACAGGTGGAGGATGATGTCTCTGCTGGGAGGAGTGTTGTCCTTGAAGCACACAGTGGTGACCAGATCAATGAAGAAAGCATTGCATCGTATTCTGAACAATGCATTTTGACTAATGAGATCCCTAATGACCAAAATAAGCACATAATATTTTAGACTCATAGAGAGAGAGACAGTCAGACAAACAAGAGAGATAAAGCACAACTATTCATCCCAAACAAGTAGCAGATTACCGTATTTCATCAGAGGCCTTGAGATCAAAGCCATCAGGCACTTCCTGTACACACAGAGGGCAGTGCATCTGGCCAGGCACCAGCCACTGTTTGATACAGGTTAGGCAGTAGATATGGTCACAGGGCAGACTCAAAGGGTCCTGAGGGTCTCCCATGCACACTGGACAAAGTTGAATGCCAAACCTGTGTAAACAAACAGTAACAAGTCACCACAATCCTTTAATAGCATCTTACTGAACCCTTTGATTAAAGAAAATATAACTAATTTAAAAAAATCATACCTGAAAATGCTTTGAGATGCTCCATCTTTGCAGGCTTTGAGTATGGTGATCACTGCCTCAAACGGATGCCTCTTTTTGAGGTTTGAGTCCTGCTCTAAGACCTTTAGCAAAGAGATTTGCGAGAGTGTTGATAAGCAGAAATGAAACGGTTCAAGGAATTATTTTCAAGGAAATGGACAGTTGACTCACTTGTGCTAGGCGTCGAGTGTGTTCCACAACTAGTGGCCTGAGTTTCAACATCACATCTCCAACACCCAGCAGCATGTGCTCGACAAACAAGGCCAGAGAACAAATGCGACGCCAGCCATGTCTGAATATTAATAATCAAATGATGTAATTGATAAAAAGTGATAATATTGATAACTACACAATACAGTAAATAGAGTTTGATTAGCAGCCAAGCCAGCCAGGGTTGTGTGCCATTCAGGTCTGAATTGAGAATGAACTTGAGAATTTTAAACGATTATACTCATTTAATTTCTGAATTGGAAATGAAGTAGCAAACAGGATACAATAATTGTAATTCAAATCTGAATCTACGGACAATTTAAATATAAGTGAAATAGTGCACAAAATCATACAAACAAACTCACACAAAAACAACATATGAGGTAATTACAGCAGCATTAGGTAAGATGACCTGCTTTGTAAACTGAACTGTAGGCAATTATATCAATGCAATGCAATATAGAGCAGGACTTCTCAACCAAGATATACAGTATGAGTTAGACTAATTCTAAAAGTATTATTTCTAGACTCTGAAAAAATCATGTAAATTAATAAAATCTTCAAATTCCATGGACATTTTTATGATTAATATAGACATTTCTAATTATGCTCTAAAACATTTTGAGTAGAAATTGAGAGTAAAATATTATTTGAAATCCATATGCTTAATCCTTATCAATTAAATTAAGAACGACTGGAAAAGTCATGCAAATTAATTGTTTAAAAAGAATGGGAATCCCAAAGAAAATTCAGCTCTTAAAATGTCAGGGAATTTAATGTACAGAAACTGGGTGTATTGAATTTAAAAAAAAATAAAAAATCATTACAGCAGATGTACCAGAGGTATAACATGTAGCATGTTATGGAACATATTAACCAACGATGATGGGGACCTTGAATATTGCTATGGGCAATGAGGTACAGCCCTGCATTTCAGACTGAGCCTGACAGGCCCGACTTATTTACGCCCCTAAGGCCAGGTTTCATGCCAATTTTCACGTCATAGCTCACACACTTTTAGGCTTCTCCTTCTTTTTATATTTTAGACATCACCCAAAAATGAACACTGTCATTAATTACTCACCCTCATGCTGTTCCAAACCCGTAAGACGGGTGTTGTGTTCATCTTCAGAACACAAATTAAGATATTTTTGATAAAATCCGATAGCTTTCTGGCCCTGCACAGACAGCAATGCAACTGAAACATTCCCAGGCCCAGAAAGGACATTGTTAAAATATTCCATGTGACATCAGTGGTTCAACCGTAATTTTATGAAGCTACGAGAATACTTTTTGTGGGCAAAGAAATAAAAAATAACAACTTTATTCAAAAAGTTCTTCTCTTCTGCTTCAGTCTCCACCGCCATTCACAAGAGTACCACGACGCATGCGTGTGGTGCTGCTGACGCAGGAGCCGGCATTCTGACGTAGAACACGCATGCGCTGCACCTTGTTTATAAGCAGAGGAATGCACACACGTGGTACTCTCGTGAATCACGGCAGAGACTGACCCGGAAAAGAAGAAATTATTGAATAAAGTTGTTATTTTTGTTTTCTTTGCGCACAAAAAGTATTATGGTTGAACCACTGATGTCATGTGGACTATTTTAACAATGTCCTTACTACCTTTCTGGGCCTGGGAATGTTTCAGTTGCGTTGCTGTCTATGCAGGGTCAGAAAGCTCTCGGATTTCATCAAAAATACCTTAATTCGTGTTCCGAAGATGAATGAAGGTCTTACGGGTTTGGAATGACATGAGGGTGAGTAATTAATGACAGAATTTTCATTTTTGGTTGAAGTATCCCTTTAAGGTGATGGAAAAGATGTGCTTAATTTAATTACTTAAATCCTAAACCATAATGAGCCTTTAATATATAGGCTAGCTAGGCACTCATATATGGCGCTTTTCCACTGCGTGGTACGACTCGGCTCTGCACGGCTCAGTACGGTACGACACGGCACGGCTCGGCTCGGTTAGCGTTTCCACTGCAGTTCAGTACCGCTTTAGAAGTTGGCAGAGTGCGAGGGTCGTGGCGGGATGCGGATCCGTCACTCATGGTGCACCTCGGTGTCGGACAAACAAAAGAAGTTAGGAATATTTAACAGCAGCGGTCACAGTGATGATGAGACGAGCACCAGTGAAGTGATCGCGGCCGCGCATCTCGTTTCTCATGCCCGCTCCGTGTGTCTGCTGGGCAGCGATCAAACAGACAGGTCAGCACTTTTCACGAGTGGAGATCGCTACTAGACGAATCATGTAATTTGTTATTTTTATTATCTCTGTTCTCTTTTGTCGTAAGTTATGCTATTACTCCAGTAATTTATACTAGCCTATCCAGCGCTCCCTGAACGTAGTCTCTGAATCTAGCATGAAAGCTGAGTCTTAAATGTGTCAAATATCTGTATCCCCAATAAAATGGGGATTTTTTTATTGCCAGTCAAGCGCAACGCTGCAGGGATGCAAAGTCTAACGACTTTGATCTGATCATAAAGTCTTTCCGAGTCACAGGGCTCAAGTCCAAGTCAAGTCTCGAGTCATTGCTGTCAAAGTCTAAGTCGAGTCTCAAGTCTTCTTTAATTATTTCGAGTCGAGTCGCAAGTCATCAAATTTGGGACTCGAGTCCGAGTCAAGTTTCGAGTCAAGTGACTCGAGTCCACACCCCTGGTTTACACGTCACATTTTGGTAACGGTACGGTTCACTTGGAACCTCAACCGAGGTGGTACTAAAAAAAGTACCAGGTACCAGGTACTGTACCCAGTGGAAAACCCCCCAAAAGTGAACCGTACCGAGCTGTACCGTGCCGTACCATGCAGTGGAAAAGTGCCAATAGCTTGCCGCAAAGCAACCATTTGAACTATTTATTAATAAACTAGTAACCACTTTGCCATTAAAAACAAAACTGAACTATTTTAATGGCTGCAACAGTTGTAATAATTCCTTAATAAATAATAATTCCTTACATTTATATAGCGCTTTTCTGGGCACTCAAAGCGCTTTACATAGAAGGGGGGAATCTCCTCAACCACCACCAGTGTGCAGCATCCACCTGGATGATGCGACGGCAGCCATATTGCGCCAGAACGCCCACCACACACCAGCTTATTGGTGGAGAGGAGACAGAGTGATGAAGACAATCAGCAGATATGAGGATGGTTAGGAGGCCATGATGGTCAGAGGCCAATGGGCGAATTTGGCCAGGATGCCGGGGTTACACCCCTACTCTTTTTCAAAGGACATCCTGGGATTTTTAATGACCACAGAGTGTCAGGACCTCGGTTTAACATCTCATCCGAAAGTCGGTGCTTTTTGTCAGTATAGTGTCCCTGTCACTACACTAGGGCATTAGGACCCACACAGACCACAGGGTGAGCACCCCCTGCTGGCCTCACTAACACCTCTTCCAGTAGCAACCTAGTTTTCCCAGGAGGTCTCCCATCCAGGTACTGACCAGGCTCAACCCTGCTTTGCTTCAGTGTGCAACCAGTATTGGGCTGCGGGGTGATATGGCTGCTGGCAATGGGGAAGAGAAAACCAAGAATTCTGATAAGCTGTTGGACAAGGGCCGGGCTAGGGCCTGAGCGTCTCTGGCCAAGGCCGGGCTTGGGCCTAGATTTGAGGCCCAAGCAGGGCTTTACAATGAGGGGCATGGTCAAAAAAATCAAAAGGCTTTGAACCACTGATCTAAGGTATCTAAAGAGATACAGGGGCCACCAAGTCCCACACAATCAGACTGAAAAACAATTTCCCAGAGCTGTAGGTGCTATCAAGCAATAATGTAACACAAAAAATAAACAGATAACATGTTACTTGTACATACTGTAACATTCCCCAAGACTCATGATAAGACAATAATTTTAGAGCTCATAAAAGACAAAACTTTTACAGGGCTTCTGCAGGATTTTCAAGCTCAAATTTAAGACTTTTTAAGACCTGCACAAATAAAATTAATACCATATGAGCGGGGTAGGGCAATGTCTATAGTACCATATTGAAATGTAAAATTACTGTAAAAAGCATAATTTACAGTTCAGATACAAGTTTTCACAAAAACAAAGCTTTATAAAATGATAAACTTCACATTTCAGCCTTTAAACCATTGTTAAGAAATGGCCATTGAGTCAAAAGTATTATTATATTAATTTAAACAATTATTATCAATACTGTAAATTATTACATCAATTAAATAACAAATTAGGGGTGTGCGACACTGACAAAAAATGATACCTCGATCATTTTCTGGGATTTTATCGATAACAATAATTAGACGATATTTTGCTGAGTGTGTTATTGTGCTGATATCTTAAAAACTACTGTGGACTCCTGAACATATTCTGTGTGGTCAGTTCACAGCATTTAATAATTAAACAAAATAAAATAAAACGTAAATCTCTTAATATTAACTACTTGTTTATTGAGCTGTAGTATAAAATCAATATCACATTTGTAATCATGCTTACTTTTGGAGAAAAAACGGCACTCTTCGTGTGATATTAACTATATGAAATTATATAAATATATACATTTTCTGCCTCATATCTTGAATATGTGATAATTCTAAATGCATTTTAATAGACTGATTCATGCAGTGAAAGAACGCACTCTAAATGCGCACGAGCACGCGCACTAGTCTAACCTAGTCTAACCTACTAGGCTTCAACACCTAATGTATGCGTGCACTCTGTAGGTGTGTTTTGTGTTTGCTTTTCACGATATACTCATAATATCAAATCGCACATCGTTAAAACAACAATTAGGATATTATCGCAGACCATATATATCGCACACCGCTATGTTTAGATTTTTATAATGCATTGCCTTCTTATCGATCCACCAGTTCACATTCAAAGTAGAGACCTGCGCGGGACGGATTTTTTTTCCGTGCTTCCTTTATTATCACTAAAAGCTGACATCTCAGTTAATCGCGATCTCATAAAGCTCTGTTATATCACATTAAATATATGCACAATGAATCTTTCACAGTGTCTACACTTCGTGTGTTAAAATGAGAGGATTCGTGAGCACGCAATTTCAGCACTGCGGTGAGTAGATTCTAACTTAATCACCTCTGATTGGCCATTGCGTTCCAGAAATCAACAGCTGAGTCTGTGATTGGCTACATTGCGCAACCTTTTAAACACGTGATATAAATAGAAGCTATGCCTAGCTTGCGCATGTCAATCATTTTAATTTTAATATTAGTTGTTCTTTTTGCTTTTGTGCAACAGATAAATAACAATTTATATGTTTTA